CAGCTCCCAGCTCGGGCCTGCTGTCCAGGGCCCTGGCCTGTGTCCCACCCTACCCCTGCCCCGAGCTCTGTGCCTCCAGTCCTGGGGCCCTGGTCTGTGACCACCCCCCAAAAGCGCTGTGCCCCCTGTCCCAAGAACCCCAGCCTATGTCCCCCCACCCCGATCTCTGGGCCTCCTGTCCCAGGGCCCTGGGCTCTGTCTCCCCCAGCTCTGGGTGCCTGTCCTGGGGCCCTGCCCTGTGTCCCCCCCCCCCCCCACAGCTGGCATGTGTCCTGTGTTCCTGGCATGTGTCTCTATGACAACTGTCCTGGTCAGGCTACTTCTCCCGTCAGGCTGGGCGCTCACCACCGAGCTGGGTCTGGTTCTCACAGCGCAGTGTGTGTGCTATGCTGGCTGCCGCGGGCCCCTCCCTGCGCGCTCCCGGCATGCCCTGTCCTCGGGGGAGACTGGGACGCAGGCTCTGAGTGTTCACGTGAGCTTGCTTCCTGCTTTGCCTTCTGTGTCCATGTCTGCCTGGATGACCCTGATCTTGTGGGGCCAGGGAACGGCGCTCCTCTGGGTCTGCAGCAGCCATGGTGTGGCTCAGAGGAGGGCCCTGCGGCTGGCAGCTGGGTGCCCCAGCCTGGCCATGCTGCCTGGGCCCCTTGCTGTCCCTTCCTGCTCGTGTGGCCACCTGCCCCAGCTACTGGCGTTTTGATCGCAGAGCTGGCAGGCAACCAACAGGTGGGGCCTTGTTCTGGGAGCTTTGACCACAGTCACCCAGCGAAGGTGTGAGGACTCTGCCCCGGGGCTCCTGGGTCCCAGCAGAGTGCCCTGGAGCCCAGAGGGGCTGGGAGGATCCCTGGAGTAGACTCGGGTTCCAGCTTATTCACCTGTGCACAAAATCGGGGAGCTGAGCCTCGGGGGGAGCTGCTCGGTGGGCTGGGGAAGTGGGGGGAGCAGGGCTTGGTGACCCCAGCGGCCCTGCCGGACTTGCACTCTGCTGTGTGTGCAGAGACCTCCTGCCTTAACGCTTTTCGTGGGCTCTGCGCACAGTGAAGCCCCTCCCCCCACCCCGGCCTCTGCCCAGGGTGGCCTCCCCTCCCCCTGTGTCTGCCCAGCGTGTATAGCCAGTGGAGGGTGACTTCTGAGTTGTTACCTCTAGTTCTGTAGCTGACTACTCCGAGAGAGAGCTGCACGGGTAACTGTAAGCACCGTCCCATCTGGGTGTTCTGTCCTCATGCGACCTTACGTGGACCATGCGCTGGTGACACACGGCGTGACCGAGTATCTCTCAGTGATGATGGTGTCTTGCGCCCCTCCCAGACCATTTTCAACAGAAGGAAACTTGGAGCCAGGGAGCAGGGGAGGCGGCCCTGGCCGCACAACCTCAGAGCCGTGCCTGGCCTGCCTGCGGCTCACAGCTGGGGCTGACCTGCTCGGCAGGGCGTGGCACGGCCTCCCTGGACACACGCCTGCTGGTGCCAGCTCCCTTCTGCCAGGCCCGCTGTTGCGTGTCCATGTGCACGTGCGCGATGCCTGCAGGTGGCGGCCAGGACTCGGAAGCCCGCCACCGTGCTGGATGCACAGCCGCTGTACCGCTGCTTTGTGGCGCAGAGCTGAGATTTCAGAGTGGCTGACGTCATGCTGGTGACTCAGTTTTTGTTGATCACAACCATTTCAAAATAAGCGGAGGAGACCCCAGAATTGCACCGACCCGCAGCCGCTCCCCTGACTTGAGAAGTGCACATGGCTTTGTAACTGTGCCGACTTTGCTGGACAAGCTAAGTTGTCATCCTGAGTTTTCACACCGCGTAGCGTTAGCTCTGCACCAGGGTCCTCCGTGTGCATTCATGGAGAGCGCGCATCGTAAAAAACCTCGTGGATTCCAAGGTGATTGGAATCTTAGCTGTTATTGGAAGCTTATCTGTTACTTCCTCTTTCCCATGTGCCCTCATGCCGGGCACCGCATCTCACGGTCCCTCCTGTCGGGGTTTTGTTGCCCTGGGACGGGCACCGCATCTCACGGTCCCTCCTGTCTGGGGTTTTGTTGCCCTCATGCCGGGTACCACATCTCACGGTCCCTCCTGTCGGGGTTTTTGTTGCCCTGGGACGGGCACCGCATCTCACGGTCCCTCCTGTCGGGGGTTTTGTTGCCCTTGGATGGCTGGAATTACGTCCTCACGCTTGTGGTCCCCACAGGTGCTGGGCAGGGGCCGCGGACCCGAGAGGACTCCTCCTGTGGTGCACTCGGCGCGTCCTGCCTTAGTGTCTGTCTTCCAGGTGGCTCTATTTCTATGGAGTTAGGCTCGGACCTGTCGGCCACAGGGGTGGGTCTGCCAGGGCTCCTGGTGTCGGCTGAGGGGTGGGAGCTGCTCCTCTGTCTCCGGGACCAGTGGGGGGGGGAGCGCCCTCGGCCCCTGTGTCACGTGTCCCCTGCACCCAGCCGCCCGAGGTGTGTGGGTGGAGTCACTGGTGCTGCTTGCTTCGATCAGGATGCGTAGCCCCAGCCTGCGTGCCGCCCTGCTTGGTGTGGCCCAGGGAGACTGTGGACCCTGCGCCGTAACCACGGACACACAGGTTTAGGTGGGGGAGGACGCTCCCCCTGCCAGCCGGCTGAGCGAAGGACGTGTGGGAGGCGAGGGTGGAGTGGGGGCTGGGTCCTGCTGCTGCTCTGGTCAGTCCCGGGAGCAGCGGGGGTGGAGACGGTCAGCAGGGGCTGGGCAGAAGGAAGGGGCTCCGACCGCGCATCAGGGAGCCTTCCTACGCTGTCCTCCGCTCTCCCTGCTGAGCGTCCACTCCGGCACCGCAGCCCGCGCCCCCCACGAGGAGCGGACTGCATCCTGCGGCTACGTCGGTGCTTTTCCCACCCTGGCTCACGGCGGTTCTGCTTTCCCGTCTCGCACACTGGGCCCCAGACTCAAGGCTAAGTCAGCAGCCCCGGGGGCGTGCAGCTGAGTGGGGCGGGTTCCACCCCAGGGCTCCGGCTCCAGAGCCCACGCTTGGGGCCGTGAGGGACTCTCCTCTGCGGGGCTCACACGCTGAGTGAGGGGTCAGTGGAGCGAGCAGCTGGGGCAGCACAGGAGGCGCAGATCGGATTGGGGGTGCAGGCGTAGCTGTGTCGTGGGGCTGGGGCTGTCACACACAGCAGGGCTCCACATCTCATCTCCCAGAGGCTGGACGGCCACGGCCGCTTGTCCTCCCGTCGTCCCTGTCGGCCTGAAGCCCTGCTGTCTCTGTGTCCCCATCCCTGTAAGGACACTGGTCAGACTGAGTGACAGCCCACCCCCATGGATGTGTTTCCCACCCAGCGCCTTCCTGGGTCCCTGGGCCTCCCAGCCCTGGGTGTCACAGCCGGGAGGATGTCACCCTGGGACCCGCGCTGCCACCTTCTGTGGAGCAGAGGAGGGAGCAGGGCGTCCACGCACGACAGCCACCACAGCACTGAGTGCAGGGCTGAGCCCCTGCCCCAGCCCCTCCCTGGCTGGCCCTGTTTCCCTTTCCTGCTTCGTGCTGTCACTCACAGTGGGAAAGGCAGCAGGAGGACTCTGTCCCGGCCGTCCAGAGCCCAGGCTGGCTGTCTCTGTCCCGGGTGTCCAAGTCCCAGGCTGACCATCTCTGTCCCGGCCATCCGTGGCCCAGGCTGGCTGTCTCTGTCCCAGGCATCCGTGGCCCAGGCTGGCCATCTCTGTCCTGAGTGTCCGTGGTGGAGGCTGGCTGACTCTCTCTAGAGGTGTCCAGGGCCCAGGCTGGCCATCTGTCCCAGGGTGTCCCTGGCACCAGTGGTGGCTCCTCCTCTGTGCACGGCTGGGCCCTCAGGCATTAGCCCCACTCTGCTCCTGTGCGGGCCCTGCAGGCCTGGCTGGGACCCTGTCCTCCCCTCCCCCACTGTGAGCCCCAGGGCACTGCTGCTCTTACCCCATGGTGCTCCCAGCTCCCAGCTTCAGTTCCTCTCCCACCCTCCCAGACCTCTGCTCCCGAGGGCTCGGACCACGTCCCACTGCTGTTCAGGGTTCTCCTTCCCTGGGTGACCCCGCCGCGCCCCCTGCTCCCAGCTTTTAGATGTTACTTCCTTGTTAACTGATCACAGCGTCTGTGGGTGTGCGGGGCGTAGTGTGGCGGCCTGGCCAGGCGATGGTCAGTCCCACCTCGTCAGCCCTGGGGTCTCTTCTCTCCCAGCTCCTGCAGGTGCACAGTGGCCTGTGGCCAACCACGGCCACCAGGCGTTCTGTGCCTTGCTTCACCTCGTGGCCCCACGCACCGTGGCTCCCAGCCTTTCTGGATTCATCGGCTGCCCTGTTACGGTGGGGTTTCTGTCTGCATGTTTCTCCCGTGCCTCGGTTTCTGTGGTGCCGGCTCAGTGGCCAGGAACTGCTCCTGGGCCTTTCAGAGGCGTCCGTGTCGCTGTGACAACGGCTCCCTGAAGCTGGCAGGCCCCTCGGTGCTCCCGTGGGAGGTGTGATCTGTTGGTGGGTGAGGGGCCTCGGTTGCTGAGGACTCGGGCCAGCCTGGCACTGGGAGCCGTGGCTGGCGTGGGGACCAGCGCTCAGAACCCTGCCCGGCAGACTCTCGGCTTCCACTGCGGGCTTGGGCCGCTCCCCTCCCGTCCACGGCCCTGAGCCAGCCACGCTCTTCATGCTCTTTGCTGAACCCCGGCACGTGCTCCCCCGGTTGCACCTCATCCGTTGCCGGGAGTTTGTCCTCCGAGCCGGGTCGGTGCCGCCAGGAGGTCCTGCTGTGGGAGCAGCCCGCGCTCGCCTCCCCGCCTCCCCGGCTTCCCAGCCCAGGCGGCTGCAGTGTCCCCTCGGGACTGTGCCTCCACAGAGGCCGCGTGGGCGTCAGTCCTTCGCCCGCTGATGTCAGCCGGACTCATCCCACCCTCACAGACGGCTCTGCCTTTCCCCCCAGGTTCAAGTGGGGCGGTGGGGTCAGTGCTCGCCCGGGGCCTCGTCCCAAGGCGGCGCCCATGGCGACTCGTCAGCACCTGCCATGCCTGACTGGGGCTCTCTGCGTCTTTGTAGGTGGATGGAGGTCTGCCTGGTGGAGGAGCTGCCGCCGACCACCGAGCTGGAGGAGGGGCTGCGCAACGGGGTTTACCTCGCCAAACTGGCCAAGTTCTTCGCCCCGACGCTGGTGTCGGAGAAGAAGATCTACGACGTGGAGCAGACGCGCTACAAGGCAAGTGGGGCCCGGTGGCCGCGTTTCCTTCCCGCCAGCAGTGTGTGGGCGGGGCTTCGTAAAGAGAAGCACTGGGGCTTGCTCCTCCACGGAGGTCACGGGTGAGAGCAGCCGCCACCCCCGTGTGCACACCCCACGGCTCCCGTCAGGCACAAAGCACCCGCGGGGCCCTGGACCTGAGGCCCCCTGGTGTCCCGGCCGATGTGATAAAGCCAGCAGGGGGTCAGGAGGCAGTGTTTCCCGCGGGTGTGTAGCGCACAGCAACACTAACCCTTGCACGTGCAGCTGGCTCAGAGAAGGGCCGGGGGTGGAAGCAGCCACAGCCCGACCGCTGTGAGAGCCGGGAGCAGGCAGCTCCACACCAGGCTCGTAGCCATGAGAGTCGGCTGGGGCTTAGGGTGAGGACTGAGGATTTGGTGTGGAGGATTGGGCTTAGGGTGAGGACTGAGCCGAAGGCCTGGTTCACATGTGAGGTTAGCGCTGCGGCAGGGCTGTGGTTGGCTTTAGGTAGGACTGGGACAGGGCTGGGGGCATCAGGTCAGGCTAGGGTTAGGGTGGAGATTACGTTTCAGGTTACGGTTGGCTCTGGGGTGATTGGGTTAGTGCTGGGGTTCGGGGTTAGGGTTAGGGTAGATTTGGGACAGGGTTAGGGTTAGGCTCGGACACGTCCCGTCCATCCTGGGCCTGCGTGGTCGGCAGGGCCGGGCTTCCCAGGCTCTTTTGGAATGCAGCTATTTCCTCTGTGTGTTCAGCACTGTCTGTCAGTGTTTTCATCTGCACATATTTTTAAATATTTATTTGAGAGGCAGAGAGAGAGGTCTTCCATCCGCTGATTCACTCCCCAGATGGCCAACATGGCTGGAACTGTGCTGATCTGAATCCAGGAGCCAGGAGCTTCTTCCGGGTCTCCCACGAGTGTGTGGGGGCCCAAGCACCTGGGCCATCCTCTGCTGCTTCCCAGGTGCACTAGCAGGGAGCTGGACTGGAAGTGGAGCAGCCGGGACTCAGGCAGCGCCCGTGTGGGATGCCGGTGCCACAGGCTGAGCCGTAACCTCCTCGCCACAGTGCCCATCACCTACCGATGTTCATGGCTGCTTCCCAGCTGCCTGTCAGCCGTGTAGAGCAGTGCTGGGCGTGTTGAAGACGGGCCGCTTTCCCGTCTGTCGCCTCAGCCACACCACCTCTGGTCTGTGTAAACACGCAGTCACGTCAGCTGGGACGCTGGGGTCACCGTGAACGCAGCGCTCCAGCTGGGGCTCGGGGGTCTAACGTCCTCGTGACAACCACCAATTCCCCCAAGGGAGCCTGGTGGGCGGTACTGAGAGGGCGGGGCCTGATCCTGGTCCGTGTGAGAGGCGGAGCTTCTGGCAGTCGTGTGGGCGGAGCTGCCGGGACTTCTTCCGGGCAGGGGACTTCATCAGAGTCCGCACTCTGAGCGCCTCAGAGCCCCGCCTGTACTGGAGCCGTCTCCTGTGGCCAGACCAGTGGCCTCACTGAGACCCCAGAGCTGCCACCAGAGGGGTCTGCAGCTAACCAGCAGTTTCCTGAGGCAGAGCTGGCCCCGGGCTAACGGTGGACGTTTGTTCTGTGGCCCAGCTGCAGGGAGGGGCTCCCACGACACAGCTGGCCACCACCCCGTACCCTCCCCGCCTCTGCTGCCCCGCCACAGGCCCTGCAGCACAGCCTGCGTGTTGTGAAGAGAAGCGTCTATGTCTGTTAGAGGGGCTGAGACCGGGGAGTCCCACCCCGGAGCGCCCCAGCTCTCGTAGGACTGTAATACGACGGTGACTGGGACACTGTTAAAGTCTGTACAACGATGTTTTAGAACTGTGTCTAGAAATGCAGACAAGCATGGGGGAACACCCCGTCTGTGTGCCCTCCCCCAAATGTCCGTGTGCCCGCGAGTCAGACCCCGACTGCTCTTTCCTGTGGCTGTTACAGTGGCTACAGAGGTGTGGTGTCAGTGCCGTCACCCACGTGGGCTCGGTGGCCAAGTGTGGCCGTGAGACACGGGGTCCCCACGGCAGGCCCATGACCCTGATGGAGCTGAGACACGGGATCCCCATGGCAGGGCTGCGTCCCTGAGCCTGAGACACGGGGTCCCCACGGCAGGGCCCTGTCCCTGATGGAGCTGAGACACGGGGTCCCCACGGCAGGGCCCTGTCCCTGATGGAGCTGAGACACGGGGTCCCCACAGCAGGGCGCTGTCCCTGAGCCTGAGACACAGGGTCCCCACGGCAGGGCCCTGTCCCTGAGCCTGGGACACAGGGTCCCCACAGCAGGGCCCTGTCCCTGAGCCTGAGACATGGGGTCCCCACGGCAGGGCCCTGTCCCTGAGCCTGAGACATGGGGTCCCCACGGCAGGGCCCTGTCCTGATGGAGCTGAGACACGGGGTCCCCACGGCAGGGCCCTGTCCTGATGGAGCTGAGACACGGGGTCCCCATGGCAGGGCCCTGTCCCTGAGCCTGAGACATGGGGTCCCCACGGCAGGGCCCTGTCCCTGATGGAGCTGAGACACGGGGTCCCCACGGCAGGGCCCTGTCCCTGATGGAGCTGGACACGGGGTCCCCGCGGCAGGGCCCTGTCCCTGAGCCTGAGACACGGGGTCCCCACGGCAGGGCCCTGTCCTGATAGAGCTGAGACACGGGGTCCCCACGGCAGGGCCCTGTCCTGATAGAGCTGAGACATGGGGTCCCCACGGCAGGGCCCTGTCCTGATGGAGC